ATCGCGGTTGAAAGTTTTCTTTTCTTAAAGAAAACAGATGAATGTTTCATACTTGACACCTTCACACGTCTCAGATGGCTGATTTATGCGATTAGGAACTCTGATATTCACCGCGCCTTCGAGGAAGGAGTGATGTCACTGGTTCGGATGATTTAGCGACAGTGTCACATGAAATAGCCCAAAGGTAAAAATGAATCAGCGTTGGTTATGATGCAGAGAGACGATATCAACTTGAAACAAAACTTGAAAGCGTGTCACGTTTTATGGATTTAATTACTTCCACTTGAGAAAAAGAATCTTTTTGATGAAAGAGTTTGTTGAATATCAAAACAGAGGAAACAGATACACACGAAATTCGCGCACGTTCACATCGAGTCGGAAAAAGGAGACTTAAGCAAATGCGTTTCATACCGCTTTCGCCGTTGACATAAAGATAGAGACAGATTACAACTATTGAATCATTGGTAAATCATTCCGCTTTAAGTGATAACAGTGTTAAGAGTTCCCTTAACTAAATGAGGCGAGAACATTTACAACTTCTTAACTGCACAATACATTTTTAAACGGTTGGAATAACAGTACGTCTAAACGCTGTGTTATCCTCGAATTCACGCTGCGTGGCCTTGTTGTTAGTTGTTAACTTTTGATATGTGGATTTTTCGCTCAGGAGGGGCCAAGTGTAATTACAGAAGGGAGCGTATTTGCAATTCATATTTTTGCTAGCTTGTCAACAGAAGAGATCACTTAATTCACAACAGGTTCTCGTGTAAAAAACGCAGTCATCCGTATTACAGCGGTTCAGTGTTAAATGTATCGAGAATTTTCAGTCATAACTAAAATGGTTAAGGTATGTCGCCTACAGACGAGCTTGTATTATGGAAATGTTAAGGGTCACGCTTTTATTTTCAATTATTAAACACTATTTATATCTGACATTTAAAATTCATCGTGCTATTCAATTTAATTCACCCACATTTGTCATTCACAGCTTGAAGTTTTCAGTACGTCTGATTTTTCGCTTATTCCCGTTGTGATAGAAAATAACGCGAGCCTATCGTTTTCATAACTTAGAGTTCGCTATTCAGATTTCGAGTCAATGAAAATGAAACGACTGCTGTGTATTAAATTTCTGTGGCATTTGAAATCTAGGAGTTTACAAAGTCGGAAAGGGTTTTTCATGAAACTGTCACTAAGAAGCAAACATGACCATTAGGGTTTTTTTTTCTTCAACAAGTATGAATGATTCTCCACCTGGTCGAATTGAAACCACGCAATCAAAAACTTCCAAATTAATTGAAGTCAACCGCACTATAGTTTTTTCTTAATATAACCGTGATAAGAGGAGTTACAACTGTGGAATATCAGAAAGGACGGTCTCTTTGATTCCAATCCAATTAATAATTTTCAAAAACCGACGCAAACACATCTTTTAAAGACAGGTCATTCCTGGGTTAGTCCACGGAAGACGTCTGCCAAGCCTTATAGCTGTAAATACAGAACATTGCTTATATAAATCTTATTATGGGTGTTATGGATGTCTCCGGTTCTGAAGTGAATTGCTCATGAATATCCCTCAATGTACATTTGGGTTTCCGGCACAAACGCCAGGTCTGGCCTCTTTTGAAGATGTTGTTCTTAGCAAATTCATTAACTCGGAATAAAAGACTAGAAGTGAAGGAGTACCATATTTTTGGTGGGAAATCAAAACGGAACTTGATATTGTTGTCATACGGCGTAAATGCTCTTTTGACGCCAAGAACTAAAACAGGGATTACAAGCTGACTTAAGGAGACAGGTCTTGAGACTATCGATTGTTTACGAGGTGGTTTAAGGTTATATTTCACGACTCTTTTGTCTACGTCGAAGCAGAAAATTTCACAATGACGCTCTGAACAAAACTAGAGTGAACGAAATCAAGCTCTTCTTCAGCTATCATTTTATCACTTAAGATACTATCACGTATTTCGTGTTACGACTTTCATTGCATGATTGATACATAATTTCACGTATAGGACTTGCTTAAAGGAAACCACATACAAATCTAGGCGACCACGAGGGAATTGACTACGTGATCAGCTGTATCCTTAATCTAAAGCAGCTTGAACTATTTAGCAGGAAAAAAGGCCAAAGAAGAGGAAAGCGAAATAATCAAAGGAACCAATTGCACTTGACAAAGATGCATAATCAATCGGATCAAATTTGTTTACAACAGATTTCTTAAAATAGAAAGCTCGATTACCCTGAAAGTCTTTAGCTGGACTTAGAGTTATTTCAGTTAGTCGACGAAATTATTTGTTTAGATTTTTGCAAGAACATCCACGCCATCTAAAAAATAAATGAATTGCTTCGAAGGAATTAAGTGCAATTTGGAATCCATTTTGTTTATCTTCAGATCATTTAAAGTTGCTTTTATTGAACAATAGCTGGGATATAAAACAAAACCCACAAAATCTTCTCTAAAAGTGCCCTAAGGCTCACGTTATTTTGGAAATACTGGCGCCATACGTTCCTAATCCTTTGTGTATGAAGACCATGTCAATTAGGAAATGAAGTGGTGTTGAACTATCTTAAAAATGAATCTTAAACATGCCAAAAAACAACAATGCTAATGAATATGAGAGAAGATAGATTGCCTGAGAGTATATCCGTTACGGGCAATTAAGAACACACAAGAATCGAAAATAAACTTTCATTCTAACAGCCTACATTGATCGATGCCTTATACTTGTGCTACAATGAAATGGGCAAGTTCATTTTTAACGAGCAGATCTCGCCATGGTGATCCACAGTTGAAATTCGGTTGCTTACTTAGTGTTGGAAACTAAAAAAGCTCAAGAAGCTTCACAATTGAGATTGGAATGGCCTCCAACCCCAAGCAATTAAGAATCCCGAAGGGCTCTCTCAAAAATATATTTAAGTTGCCGTCGCTGAAATTCTCGATTCATCTGTTCGAAATATCTCCCGGCTGACGATGGTTTTATCACGTCTTCACAATTTGTACACTTTTTAGCCACGATATCACTAAGGAGAAAATAACTTTCACCATCAGCAATCAAATAATTTTTGTCTTTGATGGGGTTTGATGAAAATTATAACAGCTGTAGATCATCGATTATCTGAAATTTCTGCCGTACGACCCTGAAGGAAAAATCTCCAGTTCTCGCTATTGTTTTGAGACTAAAATTCCGCTCCTTTTGTGTTTCCTGACGTATGGGACGTAAAGTGGTAGAAGAGGCGTTGTGATATTTATCCAACTGACTTTAAAACTGCGCATAACTTTGAAGTTCAGCGGTTTCACTGTTGTTTTCCGGATGAAGAGACAAAGGGGTTGGTAGCCCTTCCGTTGTCACTTGGCGCCTTTTTTGTCTCGAATGCTTTGAGTCATTCGATGATAAAGTTTTATAACTGACATCGATCGGGTTCTTTTCCACAGACTTCGAGGAGTTAATGATGTGATACCAAAGGTTAAAAATATCTCAAGATTTCTCATTTTGAGATTACGATGATGGCATAAGACATGCTGAGAGTATGTTTTTTTCTATTCAGTTATCGAATAACCCAAACAACGTTCAATTCTTTCACGAAATCTTTTTGAAAAAAACCGTGCGACTTAAAACAGAGGGAGATTGATATCTCGAGATAAAGAAAAGAAAATTGAGGAACGGAAAAGAAAAAAAACTAGACAGAAACAAAAAGGAAGCAGGCTATGATACTAATCTTCAGAAACAACCCACGTCTTCTTTTAGTCTTCCGGCCTTTCTTTCTTAACCTGATTGAAACATCTCATTAATACGAAAAAAAATGTAAACAGAGCTAAATATTTATGCTCAAAGTTAAAACTCTGACAATGAAAATCTACGAGCTCAGTGTTTTCGTTGTAGAGTTACTCAGATGAATGTAGATCAAAATTACGAAGGAAATACTTCGCGCGGCGTGGCTCCTAGTGTTGTTTATGTTGCAAATAACAAATATTTCAAATTTCTCGTTCCACACTCTGTTGTGTTAGCGCTGTTTTTATCCCACGCCTTTCGTGAATAATTATATCCTTTGCCAGTTTCAGTTGCATCAATTGAATTGCTTAAATTTCCACACTCCCTTGTATCACGTTTTCGACCACAGTACCGGCCTTGAGATCAAAATCAGGAAATATTTGTAACTAATCCTACGCGTTAGGGTAAAAAATATCCTCTTTTAGTCACCAGAAGTTGGGATTTAAACCCACAACTTCCTCATATAGATCGTTCGTAGACAGCGTTTCCCTGAAAAATACCATTTGCGACTGCCCGCAGTTTAATCCTAACAAGGATAGGCGAGGAAATATCAAGTTCGAAAAGAAAGGAGCGATCATAGCTGAAATATGTTATCGAATTTTTAGGATAAAAATGAACTGTCCAATTCAACATCCCTCAACTCGCGTTGATATCTTTTGTATTTATATTTATGGGTTTGATGTATGTCTAACAAAGAGACTTCAGCACAAAAAAAAAATTAAAAAAAAAAAAAAAAACCCTTCCTATTCCCCCAAAACAATTTGATAACGTCCTTCTTCATATGTGGGGTCAAAAGACAGAGGCAAAACGATTCAGCTATTCAAATCTGCGAAGCACTTCAGCTTATCAATCCTTATTCTAAACTATTCGCTGTTGTATTTAATTTGTTGGAGAGGAAATATGAGCCTTACACTGCATTCGAAGCTGTTCATCATCATTCTAAAGATTAACCGACTCTGCACCAAGCTTATACCTCTCGCGAAAGAGGCCTACCTACTTCAAGTCGATTATGAATAGTCGATTATCATTAAATCAAACAAACAAACAAATGATAAATCTATCAAACTGATCATGATTCGTCAGTCAATTAGTCAATCAAAAAGCCAATCAATCAGTCGTAAATAAATTATTTGCCAATCTGTTGGTGATTAAATCAACGAAGATCATTAAAATAAAAATAAATTGAAATAGAATCTAAGAATACCAACGCTATTGAATGATGATGCGGGGAATGATACTTTATTTGGTTTAATTCAACCTCTGAAACTACCATTTACTGGAAACAACCATTTACTCTGGAAGAGAAGGGATTGAAATTAAAGGATTTGACTGATTTTTTTTCCTTGGTTACTTACACTCGATATAAAATGATAGGAAGACCAGTAACTTTTGGTTGTCTATGATATGAGAATATTTGAGCATCTTGAATTCTTGTTCTGACAAAAGATAGGTAATATGACTTACAACATATCACTGTTAGCAGTAACACGCAGCTTTTGTTGAAAGACCATTTCACTAAGAATCGTCTAAACTACAATTTGGATGTTAAATCTCTTTAATTTCTCAAGAGGAATTTTTCGTACAAAAATTTTACCAAAGAGAGCGGTTTGCGTGCCTATGCTACAGCCAAAGAAAGCAACCTGAGAAGTAACCTAGGATGCACTAGGCAAATAACCAATCAGAAAGCTGTATTTCACCTACGAGATTAATTGACCAATCGGATTGCACAATTTTCAAATCCGACTCTCGCCTGCGTCATCTTACAAACCACGTGTCAGCTGTAAGATGAAGTTCCCTATCAGGACCCCGATTATAGCGTGGTTGAAGTAAGTCTTTCTGATTGGTTACACATTACTAAATTTATCTACTCATATGCTTTCAGACGAGAAGAAATATTTTAACATTCTTACTTTCAAAGGCTATTTACTAGAATATTTAAATCTCCCTTGCTAACAATATTTATTATCAAACAGGCTAATTGTTAATTAGGCATTCGATTCCTTATTTTCCAAATTGATTACCACTACCTTCTCGTTAAAGACCTATACAAATCATCCTTTGGAAATAACCTACTGCTCTCTGTACCAAATATCTCATCCACTTTCGCTCTGTTTAATTCACAAAACCTGCGTGTAAATAAAAAACACAACAGCGTTTTAGAACTGATCTACCCTGGAAGAAAACTCAACTAAAAAAATTTCCAAATGACTAAAAAACTATCGTTTTTAAATTACATTTACACAAACCTTAAGAAAAAAAATATAGCAAAGACTTTGACTGGTAAAGTTATGGAAAGTTCTTGTAACTGAGGCCGAGCTAGAGATCGCACTATTCGCTCTCAATTTTTTTTGCTTACTGAATTTTGTATAGTTTCTTACGTGCTTGTTGACAAGGAGAACCCAAATGGGGTTTTTCTCGTGTTCCTTTTAATTAAACACATGAAATGAATTTTCCAGCAGATTTCTATAATTCTTTGGCCCCAACAACAACTGCATGTTGTGGTTTAACGAAACAATTTCAAATTAGAACATGAAAAATGTTTATGAACCTGCCGACGAGAAGTCCATGGGTTAGCCGTGACGGAATGGCTTTCCATCCGGGGGAGCAGTATCTTCTCCATTCTTTTTTTGGTCCACTATTACTAGTTTAGCAATTTTTCAGTCGGCCCATGTTTGTATTTTGTGGTTTTCTTCAAGTTTTTTTCGCAAAGAATGAAAATATGGTAATGAATGGCCATAAACCACAAACAATTTAATCAGGTTCATCGAACTTTTCTTTTCCATTTGAAATGCACCTTTGAACCAGCGAGTTGTCATATCAAAGGGTTTCTGCAAGCACATGTTTGCTGTATTCATTTCCAATGGTATACTGATTTACTTGCGATTAATTGCAACTTATCTCCCTTATGAATTATTGTTAATTCTAGTCATCGACATCTAAAAATATTTTTTAACCTTCTTTACCAGGTTATTTACAACAGTATTATTATCCTAAATAACTCTATATTTTTTATCAAACACCATGAAAAGCTACAAGCATCAAAACTTTTCAACAAGAGGAAATAAAACATATATATAATACATAAATATCAACATATTTCATTTTTGCGAGTAAATCCATACTAAAGACCAACTAAAACCTATAGTGTGATGATGTGATCGTCTGTAGCCTGCTCTCAGCTAATGGAAATGAGCTGCCTCGCGAAAAACGTCAAGGGATGTGGGGGGGAGGAGGAGGAAAGGGGGAATCAAGCAAAATGAAGATAAAGATGAACGGGAAAAGCTGTCTCTCTAGCAGCCACAACCGCTGTTAGTCGCTCGCATGCTCTCTTGCTCGTCTCCTCTTACTGAGAACCAGACACAGTTTGGATCGTCCGGGGTTAAGGAAGTCCTGCAAAGGGCTAGCCGGCTCACTGTCGTTTTCAGGACTGCCCATACCTGGACTACCACGCCACACGATCGACAGCTACTCTCAGAATTTTTAACTGTCTGTATACTTGTTACACTGCATTACAGCCATTTTACTTTCGATGTGAACTTGCATGATACATAATGGTAGAGTGAGTTTGCCCCAACCTCTTGGCCGTCACAACGTTTAGATACCGCCAATAAGATGGCCGCACACTGTGAACTTCCCAGGTGCACTACGATGACATGAACAAATATTAGAATGATAGTATTTTGAGATGGGGGGAGGGGGGGTGTGTGTCAAGTTCCACTATTAGTACTTAAGAGCACAGGAAGACTAACTGTACCCTAGAATTGGTGCATGACTAAACGTATGTCGACAAGTCCGGCTGGCTGTATCGCAAAATAACAGGTCATAAAATGAACTAAACACGCCTTTTGAATGGTTTTTACTGATGATCTATTGACAGACGCATAGATGCATATATGAGGTCAACATTAACAAAATTCTGCTTCTTCACCGTCATAAGTAAATCGATTCCACTTATACTACGAACGGAAATCAAAATAGGCTCTAATAGTGTTGTCAAGTTTATATGACGCTTTTAACAGCACAAGGCCTACTCTTTGCAGAGCAAGACACCTCAAGTATGAAAATACGGTTTTCTTACCGCATGAAAGAGCAATGCAGTTGAGAAAGAATACGCTAAGATCTCTGCATAAGGAATGGAAGGAAGAATCCCGGCTGATATACCATGCTTGTACAAAAGCTGAAAGACAAATTTTCTTCATTTTAATCTACCTGTCCGTACACTTCATGCCTCTCATCGACTGTGAAGCAGGAACAAAGAGCAAGTAAACAACATTCGGTAGAACTTGCTCGGAGGCATAAGGGTTACTCTGTGCAGGGGCCTAGCCAGGATCTTTCAACCCCCCCCCCCCCCCCAAGCTACGCCCTTGAAGTGTGCTTCTATTCCATTAAGAAAGGGAAAAGGGTGGAGTCACATCGCATCTGTATACTGGAAATGGTCCCATCTACATAAAGGCCAATCAAATTCAACCCTCAATGACCAGACACCTGTCTTTTAGAAATTCTTTTTTGATCCCAAAAGTGGCGTCAAATCGCAAAAATATGGACTGTAACTAAAGTAGCAAGGGAATCAATATGCTGAATATTTTTCAACAATTTTGAGCTTTGGACGTGACATGACAGAAAATGAGTTCTCAATGGATTTACTTCTGCCAGACAAGCAGTGTTCACAAGCATTCTTAAAGAATCGCATTTACCATCTTTTCAGTATCAAAATGTATTTCTTTATAACTACCTCGGAAATTTTAGAAGCTAGGTACAAAGCTATACTTGAACTTCTGTAAAATATCATGGACAGACCGGCTGCTCCACCTACAAGAAGAAAATAGGCAAGTTATGCATACAGATGATGCTTTGTGGGTGAAAAATTTCGTTTGGTTCAACTCAACTTCATCAGCCACAATAACACATATGTTGTTGGTACATAAAGTCAACTTGTAATAGGCAGACCGTATGTCAAGCTTACACTAGCCCAAATTCCAAACTTTCCTCCTTTGATTACTGTAATATAGCAGACACCTCGAGCAGACGTGAGCTTCATGACGAAATTCAGTTTCATTTCTATCCAATGACATTGAAGGTGATATTGTTCACTTTTGAAACGTTATTATTCTATTTAACAGAAACGCCCAGATTATTCATTCTATCCTCCTTGGGTTTCAAGTGCTGCTTAACTTTCATTGCACAGACCCCCTGTAATAAACGAACATGAGCGAGAGTTTTCAAAACACAGATTTCACTAAAGATATACCAATCCTACCTGCTATTAATCCATTCAATTCATCTCTTTTATTTCTCAAGAAACCTGACACCCATTCAACAGTCTAGAGCAAAATAACAAGTTACTAAAAACAAGTAAATTATCATAGCTAAAGGCTGGAACAACTCATCTCTATTAATTACTACCAAAAGAATGAACATACATCAATCGGAATACCAAACTACAGCAAAATTGCTAAAATGCAATGTTTAGTTCACACACCTTAAAAATTGCAACAAAACTTCCCAGGAATACACCACATCTAAGACAGTCCTCATTATAAAACAATCTCAATAGCTTCCCTAATAAAGTAAAAATGGATAGAAACACTAAATAATGCATAATAACAAACCTTGTGTTTTATGAAACACACTGTTATAAGTGAACTTGAGTTATAAAACCTTAAGTATCCACACATTGTGGACAGTATGCATACTCTGCATACTGATCCCTATACATTTCTTAAGGTGCCAACAAGGATAATTAGATTAACAATCAACAACTTATTAAGTTATATTTGATTCAGGGGTGATAACACTTACAGTGTTACTGATAGTGCTATAAAGTAATTTTAAATGTAATAGAAAGCATTCATGGAAATTAATGGAAAGGCTGAGAAAAGATGACGTCTTTTGTACAAACCTGGTCTTTTAAATACATGTCTTATTTGTCCAAGAAGCATGGGCACCAATTGCACAATGTAACCAGTACCAAAGGCCTTTAGTGTTGGTTGTAGCCTGTCACACAATATTTTGAAAAATAAAAACAATTAAAACAATCCCAAGAATAGTCAAGATTATTCACACACTCTTTTAAGACTTAATGCCTTACACTTTTGTTACTTTGGCATAAATTTAATCATAAATTTACAATTGTAATAAAAAAGGCTAAAAGGTTAAGAATAACAAGCAGAAGTGCACTGTTTGGGTGTCTTGCAGTAACTCTGAAAATGATGTAAAATTTCTTTTTCCTAGTCTGTTTTTCCAACAGGATTATTTGTACAGCAAGGCACTTTGGTTTTCAGGGTTATAAGACATAGTGGTAATAGAGAAAGGGTGAGTATTTTGCTTTTTTTGTAGTTGCTTGCTAAGGCAGCTTTGCTGCCTAATGCCCCATTCACACCAAAGCTTAAACATGTTTAAAAGTTGTTTTGTTAAACACAGTTTAATTTTTTTTTTCTTCATAGAAACTATTTAGCCGAATATTTTTGACTTAAATGTAGCACATTGGAAATGCAAGTTAGCAAGTACTTGAATCCAATGGAAAATCAATTCAGTTACTGTTTATAATTTTCATTCTGAAAACAGTTTACGTATAAGATTAGTATGATGTCCTAACAATTGTAATACCTACTACATAAGATGACTGTTGTTATTTGCAGGATGTGAATTTCACAACAGTGAACACCAACAGAGAACCTTGTGACCAAAGGACGCACAACACATTTTTGAATGAAGTTGGTAAATTTACAAAAAGCATCCAGTTTTGACCAATGACTCACAAAATAAGTCTCTGCACCACTATTTCTTAATTTATTTTTAGGTATTACTAACTTCTGTGCCATAAAATTGCTCATTCAATATTGCACAGGTGGGATGATGAGCAGAGATAATTAACAACAAAATTTTCCAACCTCGTAGGTTGAAGCTGTGAGCTGACTATAGGAAAAAAAACTGAAAGAAGAATTTTCAAATCAACATGCAACTCAGAGTCCTTCCTCTGCTAAAACTGTCTACATGTTTGTAGTGACCCTTAACCAACAAATTCAAATTATGTGTGGTTTCATTCAACTCCTGTAGCTCTGATTACAAAAAGAGAAAAGGGGTGTTCTGCCTGTTTAATATCCTCTCTCTGTTTATCATCTTTTTGTATGTTTAAATGTCATAACAAATACTAACCATTTTTGCTGCATCTGACTTTCTCGAATGTTGATTGAGAGACTTGCTTTTAAACTGTCTACTTCTTGGCCAGGACTGTGATCATTTGGACCCAAAAAAAACCTTCAAAGAATAAATCAGAGTACCATGACTTACCCTGAGTTAATCCTTTCAGAAGGTTTTAAGACTAATTTATTCACAAAAATATAATGAACCCTTCAACTCCCAGAGCAACCAAGGCAGAATTTCCCCTTACAATATAAAGTAGACCACTGGTGAGAATAAAGAAAAATATCAATTTGGAACCATTAGTTGATCCACTACCAAATCCTCCGAACTAATTTTATAAGCATTGTATGGAAAATAGTAAGGAAAATTCCCAATGAGATCTTGAGAGTGGAAGGGTTAAGATGGTGAGATTTCCCTATCAGATATTTCATCACATACCTTACTAAAGAATTCAAAACACCATCTGTAAGACCTCCCTTTTTCCTAATTGCAAAATAAATTATATAAATATCCATTACTACCTGTAGTTCCATTTGAAAGACTAAACTGTACTCTAGTTGTATCATGACTACATGAATATATGAAAGTATAAAGCTGTGTTTAGGGAAACTTGGAAGAGAACTGTTGGACAGAGGCTGAACAAAATTGTTTATTATGACAAATTTCCTGTCATCACCAACATTTCACAAGTGTGGATGGTTTGTTGTGACTTGACAAATTTTGGCTGAAGTGAACAAATCTTCAAACACACCACTAACAAAATTGTCCCAAAAAACTGGATAAGATCAACTAAATAAGCAAAACTGTGATAAATTTATAGATAATTTGTTGTAAAAGCTATGACCACCATGTAATTGAACTGAAATCAGTCTACTAGACAGGCAAAAATTTTCTTTTGTTGCAAAACTTGGGGCTTCTAAAATTTTTAAATGATTTCAGATAAATCCTGGAAATTGGAGGTGGAATCCTTTATGGCTGGTCTTGTGAACAGAACAGGTGCTGACAGAACTTGAAAGCTTTGAAATTTTTAATCCAAATGCAACTGATGAAACAAAAATTTGTCATAACAAATTTGTCCTTTGATTTTTTCACAACAGTTCTTGTTTTGTCTGCTGAGGTGGAAAGGCTCTAGGTAAACAGCTATGTATAAAGCAAATTAGCTGGTTAATAAGGCCTAAAGGTGGGTGATGGACATATGCAATTTGATTCTAAGTTAAGGGAGTATTTGAAAGAGATTTTTTAACCACAGCACTACTTACTTATAAAGGTACATCATGATGGCTGTTGCAATACAGAACAACAGAATCTACCAAAACAAGAAAAACCTCTGTAAACATTAACAGCGTTGAATAACATTATTTACTGTCATTATCTCTACTCTCCTCCCAATTGTTTTTGCTCTTCAAAAGCAAAGCTACCAGAAGAGTCAATATATCAGGCTGGTCACATTGAGACTCTCACACATAATTGATGGAGATGATCTTTAAAAATTTTGTAGGAAATTATGACAGACAACATCTGCTTTGCAAGGGTAAAAGTTGGTCAGTTTAGGAAATAAGCCCTCTCTTTTAGAATGTACCCCTCAGGGAATGTTCACTGCAAGCATCTTACAGGGAACAATCATATGACAAATGATTTATTTTTTGAAACTCTGAATTCCAGATTTTTTTTTTGTTTTGACAAACACTTGTATACACTCTAAGAGAATTTTTTTTATATAAAATGGACTGCTAGTTCGCACCTGGGATTCATGATCAATATAAAGGGTTTACACTCCAGCTACATCATTGTTTTGTGTTGTTGGGTAAGACACTTAACCCTCTCAGTAACTCTCTCCATCCAGGAGTATAATTGGTTACCAATTAAACCTTTTTACCCTAACATCAGTAGACATATTCTCCATACTGTTAATGATACATTTCTTGTGGTGCTAACAAGGAGAATTTGTTTAATAATCAAGAGTTTCTTTTGTTGGTGATCATTTCCATTATTCTCATGACATTAATGTTTGATTCAGTGGTTATATTGTGAGGAGAAATTAGATGCTAGTCACTCTTAGGGGTTTAAGGGTTAAGAATCAAGGGAAGTTCAGGAAATACATGGAGGGGGGGGGGAACAAGGGTGAGAGTAACCTGGAGTGGAAAACTCATGCCCCATTCACACCAAAGCTTAAACATGTTTAAAAGTTGTTTTGTTAAACACAGTTTAATTTTTTTTTTCTTCATAGAAACTATTTAACCGAATATTTTTGACTTGAATGTAGCACATTGGAAATGCAAGTTAGCAAGTACTTGAATCCAATGGAAAATCAAGTTTTTCAGTTCTCTGTTTATAATTTTCATTCAATGAAAACCAGTTTAACAAAACATGTTTTGCTGGTGTGAATGGGGTATTAGTTTAGGAAATTGAGCCTTTTCCTTAGGTATGTACTACTAAGTGGATTTTCACTGCAAGCATTTCAGAGAAAATAATCAAATTTCAAATGATATCAAAGTAAAAGAAAAAGTATCACACTGAAGCAGCAGTTATAGTCTTAGTCCACATGTTACAGAAACTGGGATTGGCTGTGGCAGTTAAGGGAATTGGTTCATTAGGCAAACTCTCCATTGTTATACAAAATTTTCACTCTAAAAACAGAAAAATGAACACATCCCAACAAAATTATTTTTTGCAGTTCAGTCTTCCAGTTCCATCATCACCAGTGAGTCTCATGGACATGGACAGGGCACATCACAACACTGCAAGTTGATGGTAATATATACATATATATATATATTGTATAAAGCATACCTCTCCATTAGGAACAGGATGAATGAGACCCCTCTCCTTTAGCATGTTGTAAGTTGTTTCAACACCCTAAGGTTTACACAGATAGAAAAGTACAGTCATATTCCTCAACTGACAAACAAAGTTGGGTTTGAAATGATTCAACCCCACAACTCTCTCCATTGACATTTTTCTTTATCATTCCCTCTGTCAAACCCCAAAATTGAGAGGGGAAAAGAGGAAGCCAACAGGCAGAAGATATTTGACAACCTCCAGGAACATAACAGCAATGGTTAAACCTTTCCCTTTGTCTTTTTCTTTGACGAAATTGCCTTGAAGAAAAAAAGAGTTGGAGCACAGAAGTACCTGTCATACAAAAAATATGTTGGCAAAAGCATTTTATAATGGTGAAATGGCGCACAATAGTTCTTGGAGGTTGGCTCTGATTAAAACAAATCCCTCCAATCAAAAGAGTTCACAGAGAAGCCTGGTATTAAGACACCACCATTAACCTTAAATAGGTATTTATAAAAATGTACAAAGATGATGAAAATTATTAAAATATCTGTTATTTAAGGATAGTTACCAAATTTGTCATGTATAGTGCAAGGGTGCCTCTTCTGCTTTTTTTCTCAACTAGAATGGCAGTAAGAGATGCTAGAAATCCAGGGAGAAACACAGTTGACAGGTAGCTGAAAGATCCAATGAGCTTCCTGACAAAGAAGAAAAAATGTTCTTACATTGGGTATTGACCAATGTACTACTGCCTGCTATTTTAAACACATTTGCCTTAGTTTTATAAATCAATTTTCTTTATATTATATCCATCATCATAATTTGACTATTAATTGAAACTGATTTGAAACATTTCAAACCAAGAAAACATGCGATATCACAAGGTATATGGTAAAAGACTTCAGGAAATTAAAAATCCACATTTACATCATATATCTCTTCTTTACTGACTAAAATAAAATTCCTTTATTCACTGTAATTGCTAAAAATTATTTACAAAAATTATGATAAAATCCTTTAAAAATCAAAAAATACATTAAAATGTCCAATAAAAATCTAGGAGAAACTAATGGATACATGCTTCATTTATGTTTCCTCCTTGAACTTTAAAGAAGGACAAGATAATAATAAAAAAGAAAGTAATAATAGTAATGTGAAGGATATTAAAAGTTCTAATCCTAAAATCTTGTGCTCCTAATTCCAAAGCCCCTACTAATCCTAAATGTGAGGAATATTAAATGCTTCAATCTTAAAATCTCCTTAGTTCCTAAATCAATTTCAAAATTGTTGTCTGTAATGTTCAGCGGAGCTCTTCACATACACTGTGAGCCTCTCAAGCATAGCAACGCAGACTTCAGGAGGGCAACAACATTATAACACTAAGTCTACTGCATTAGTCTTAACTCTTTAACTCCCAGATCAAATTTGTATTTCTCCTTACTGTCAACCATACAATTCTTTTAATGTTAGTTCAGAGAATTTAGTATGGGATCAACTAATTATCTCCAAATTGATATTTTCCTTTATTCTCATCACTTATCTAGTTGATAATGTGTTGATGTTGTAAGGAGAAATTCTGTCTTGGTCACTCACAGGAGTTAAAGGGTTAATCAAGACTATAACAAAATCATCAAAGTAAACAGACCTTAATAGACAGACATAAACCACCAGTCCTCCACCATTGACAGCCAGAAAACAGGATGACCTGATTACATCCAGTAGATACTTATATTTAAAGTACTTTACATCAGCCCTCCTCAGAATACCACCAATCTTCAAATAAAATTGGAAGTACCCAAAGATGATAAATATATCACATTCATATTAATAATAGATACACTGGAAAAAGTGTAGAGCATAAATGGATACAATTTCAAACCAAAAGTTTTATGTCCAACACAACTATTTATTTGGTTTTCCATGTAACATTTCTGAGTTTGCTCTTTCCATCAACTCGAGGGAAAACAAGTCTGACTAGTTTCCTGAGGGACCATACATTAAGTGCTTTGTTACATATTTAGACTTTCTCCTAAACAATCATGTGTTATGTAATTGGTGCACAGACAACAACTGCACAATTGTATCCTAGTTGGAATACATTAGAATTCGATCAGGGGCATGTGATCAAGAATCAACCAATCACAGTGCTTGTTTTGTTAAGAGAAAGTCTAGGTATAACAATAGCCATTGTTTGTTAGTAGCCTCCTTTTGGTGTCAACTTAAGCAAAGCTACTAGGTGGTATACGAAAACAAGACATGGTTTCTTGGGTGTGTGATTTTCTCTGCTACTAAACAATGCCATTACAGACTTATGGGATTACATAATTTTAATTACATTTATGATTAGGAAAAACAAAATCACATTGTTATTCCTGGATGTGTCTTCCTCCAACTGGAATTTTAAATAAGTAACAACCTTCAATAAAACTGTATGGAGCCTGTAATTACAATTCCAAGAGGAGATTAGAGAATCCTGTTTTTTAATTCAGAATCATCTGAAGGCATAAGGATGTAATATTCAACAGGGAGAGAATATCCAGATCAACTCCTTCAATTCTGTTCCCTGGGCATGTGGGGAGATATAATAACACTCCAAGACTTAGGAACATAGCATTTTCAATCGATTAACAAGAGAAACTTGTTAATTCAAGGCTTCGTGACGATTTTTAAAACAACTTTGCTTCCTTTTACTGTGAACACCGAAAACGTGCTCTAACACTCTCAACAACGTAAACATGGAGAAACAAACATTACGTAACATGGAGAAATATTCCTCAGACAAGTATTTGTGATGACCGTATGATTTATGGTTTCCACTAACCAAAGGATTTTTGGAGTAAGATACTATTAATACAAAAGCCGTTTTTTTAGTATTATAGATATAGACTACCTGATATATAAGCTTACATTACTATGTGATATCAAAAGTCATCAAAATTTGCAAATAATTATTTTTGTAGTGCAATCTTACCATGTAAAGGAGACCATAAATTTTCAAGGATTCCACAAAACACGAACGAAAGATTCCTGCAGCCGCAGAAGAACATGATGGAGTCCACGTATGTGCTAATTCGTGACACGAAATCCTAGAGGTAAAAGGATGTAATATTTTTGAAAAAACAACCATACTGTCACCGTCCGATGACTTGTTCTTGAGACATTAGTGCAATATTATTTGATGTGAATAACCGCCATATTGCACCGAATTGACGGCGAGAGGACTGGGTTAGAGAAAGACAAGTGTTCGCTAATATTGCCCGGCAGATTTTGAAAGTGAAGTTTACTAAGTATCTAACTACGGTCTACTTCCCTGATCGAACTGAACCGTTACCGCGGTGTGACTGAGCTAGAATTTGACTGACTGAAGAGAGACCAGCACCATTCAAATTTAAAAAAGATATCATGGGGAGGCAAACAATGGGGAGGCTGTGAAAACAAAAGTGAAAAAACAAGCATACAGCCACGGGCGAGCAAGTCTTAATAAGAGAATACCGAATTTTGTTGTTTACTTCAGTGCAGCTTAGACTGACTTCGTAGAGACCTTATGAAAAAATCCACGTTACAACCCTGGTTTGAAAATCCCTAACAGTCAATTCAAGCTGCGAGAAGAGGGGTATCTGAAATGATTGCAGGGGTCACCAATAGGCGTAGCCACAAGTTGCCGATAAAAGTGCCAAAAAGTTGCCGAAAAGTTGCCGAATTTCCAAAAAGACGCCGAAAAAGTGCCGAAATGTAGCTGTTTTTTCTGGAATTGTTTGGGCTTAAAGTTGGTTTTGTTGTGGGTTAAAGGTTAGATCCTTCACATTATATGTAGATTTTATTCGCACTTTGCTTCTTAACAAAATTTTATTTTTAGAATACAACGCCTATTCCACAGAATATATTAGAGGGTAATATGCGAATAATCTACTTTTTGTGAGATACTAAGGGCTTGTGACAAGCTACAACTTGCCACGCGATACCGCTGACCTCGTGGACAGGCATCTAACTAGGTTCCCACACAGTATAAACTAGTTGAGTTACAGGTGACCTTTCTTTCAAAAGCTAATAAGTGTAGCAAAAAAGTCAAAAACCAATGTTCAAAATTCTTAAACATATCAAACGTTGCCGAGAAACTTGTGGCTTAGCTTAGTCACCAAAACCAGAAACTTCACTGAAATATCCAGTTTCTTTTTTGTCCATAACAGGTCCTCGAATAAACTAATGGTGATATAATGACCAATGATGTGTTGAAGAACGTGGCTCTCACTGTGAGAGAGGAAGTACTGGATAAGGGAAACACCAAAAGCCCACTCATTAAGTCTATTCCTTCCCGGGTCCTCTGAGGTCAGCTGCACTGTAAAGGATACCGAATAAATCATATGGAAAGTCTCTTTTGGGTAGGAGGTTTCATTTACAATAATAAGACCAGAAGAAAATTTCTGAGTAAAATTTTCAAGTTTCTGCACAGACTGATCAGCTTAATTATGTTTGGAATGTCGCTTTGCTGAAAAATGAACAGCTGAGTTTTCTCATTGGTAAACGCACAGCAGGATACAAATTGTTGCAAATCAGGATAAGTGGTAGAAGAAGAAAAAGTTGAAGTTTGCCCCAAATCAGTTTGGCAAGATGTTAAATAATTTTGTTTCATATTGTAAAGCATTCCCCATATCATAAACTCATCATATCTTACATAATAATATATATCAATTTACATTCAGCTCCCTCTCTGTTTCCGTTTTTTTTTTTTTATTCTTAATACAAATAAAAGTAGATTAAAGTAACGATTTAACTTTGTTTCTACTCTGCCTTTGACTCGTCACTATTCTACCTTTAACCGTGTAAACCCTAAGAGTGACTCGCATTTAATTTCTTCCTATAATGTCACCCCTGAATCACACATTAAGGTCAAGAGAATGAAGGAAATGATCCCCAACTAAAGAAGCCCTTGATCAGTAAACAAATTCTTCTTGTCAGCATCTTAGGAAATGTATAAAGAACAGTATGGAGAATATGATGTAAAGGGTTAAACTGTGATCATAATATTTGCAACAGGGAGCCCATCTTGTAAAAGGGTATAAAAGCCCTGTAGTTCCCAAGGGCTTCCTAGCCCCCTTCAGTCCTTTTTTTTTTTAGCTCTCTCAACCTGATTATTAAATTTATGGGAAAATGAATAAAGCATGAAATACTGGCAACCAATTGAAGGAAAACAATCTTGGAATCCACTGAGTGCTAAGGGAGCCAACGTTTTATAGCCCGGCACTGCTCTGCCGCTAAATTAAATCAGATAGTAGCATCATTGTTGACTTTTCATTAACACTTCCCCATAAGGAAAATAAAATTATAAACTCAGAAAGGCTACCGACTTCTAGAATTAAATAGTTTTGTACCCTTGCCATATATTTTTGGTTCGTCATGAATGAGCGATTCTGTTTCCAGTTTAATTTGTTCTGTCATTTATTGAGTAGGTCAGGAAAGTAACTGGTGATTACAGGTTCTTTCTCTTTCATATAGGAGGGCGAAACATACTTGGTCGAAATCGGAGGAACATGCTTCAGTTCGCTTAATGTTAAGCGAATTTGCACTGCTTATAGTTCAGTGCTCCAATGAATAAAAACAAGAAAATACTCAATGTAAAGTGCTTTTTTTTTAGGGAAGGGAAATAAATCTTTCTCGAAGCCGCGAAGTTGAAAGACAGAAGTTCGAAGGAGTTATAATTAGTACGAAGATTGATGTCCTGTTAATGAGATTTCGGCAATTCTATGTCTATCCATTTCACAGTAAGGACTAGTGACCTGAGACAATGTTCATTGATTTCTTTGACATAACACTGCTGAGTATGAACCGGAGACAAATCGACCGATTATTAAGAAGGGAAGCGGTGTTCTTTTATGGTTGGAATCCTTTTAGGCTCACCTTGCCGATAAACCTGCAGGGATCTTCCCGAAGGGATTCTTTGAAAATTGAACCCTTGGTTTAAAGAAGCAAATTGGAACATCACAAGGGCACAAAAGCCTTAAAGTCAACAAACCGCAACCCTGAGCCGGCACATATTTTTTCCTTTATTCGGGGAAGGCTTCCCGCTGTTCGCACACGATAATCGACTTATAATGGTGGCTAACGTATTACTCGATTTAGCAAGTTATCAATCAAATTTTCGCTTTCTTTATTACATGATAAGTCAGCAGATTTTTCGTTTTGGAGCGAAGCTGATTTAAATTTCGTCGTAAATATTTTACTGCATAGCTTTGATTTATGTTCCAAACCATCGATCCGATGAATTGACGACTTAAAAAAATTGAAATCTCTGATGGAAAATTAAAAATATACATACAATACTTTCGTGAGTGCAATGTGATCGATTTTGAGCACGTTTGAGCATGTTTTTTTTCCTTTGACAAACTCACAATTTCTTGAAGAGAGTGATCGCTAATTGAGTGATGGACGCAGGGAAAATTTTATTACGGTCATGAAAGTTACATATGTAAAGAATAAATTAAGAAATAAATACCTTGACTTTTGATGAGAGATTTGAAAGAGTTGCCAAGATTTTTTAGGAGACGGATATTTTTCATGTCCATGACGGAGCCTGGTTACTGCGCTGTATGCCCTTAATTAAGTTTTTATTTTTCTGTATAATTTTTGTTTAAAGGAATATGGATTTCTCTTGGTTATCAATGAAAGGAAATCTAAAAGAGATGTCTCATTCGAAAACTACTACAACTCTACCATCGATCACACTGCATGCAGCGGGCTTTGCGGCTTGCCTGTTTATTCGTGAAGTGTTTGGAGTCGCTCTAAATTAGTCTTGAGGGCACACGGTAGAAGTATGACGCACTTGTTCTCTTTCTCAGAGAACAAAGGCTAAAGAAAACCTCTCATGTGTTGAAAACAAATGCTGTGTAAATAGAAATGGAGTTTGCAAATTGAAAGCAAGCACCGTGCATTTTACTAGGTTTGCTTTGCTGATTTGATCAACCAATCGCAATTTAGAACAAAATTAAAACTAATTGACAGATGGTTTTGACAGGCGTGGCGTTTAATCAACGCAACGCTCGCTGATTGGTTGCAATGTATATCGCCCGAGTAGAGCACAAAGAACAACACTGCCAGCAATTCTCATGCAGATCAACGATTGCTTACATTTAGCATTTGTGAATTCCGTTCTGGTAAACCGAACTTATGTACCTACATCGAAAACCAATTTAGAGTTTAAGTCTCTAAGCGCAGATCAGCGTCCGAATATCTGGAAACCTCAAGAGCGTGCGCGATTGTACTGTGCTGGCAGAAAGCTTCAAGTGTTGATCTCAGCTGTTGCTGTATTGTATGGATCCGCTTAAGTCTTCTTTACTTGTTGTTGCGATCTTGGCTAGTTCCGTCGCCACTGTGCACGGTCAGGGTTTTAGAAAGAAAGGATGGCAGTGTGAGAAGATAAATGCCCCACTTTGTAGTAACATGGGTTACAACGTGACACGAATACCAAACATGCTCGGCCATGAGACTCAGAAAGAAGCCGAAGTACAATTCAAACAGTTTCTTCCTCTGATTAATTTCAATTGTGCGAGTCAGTTGCAGTTCTTTTTGTGCTCGGCATATTTCCCGATGTGTACCGAAATGGTGGACGTTTTGATCACATCCTGCAGGCCATTGTGCGAGTACGTTCGCAAGCAGTGTTTACATGTGTTGGCCGAGTTCGGTATTCCGTGGCCCGCGAAACTCAACTGCACCAAGTTCTTGGAGAGAAACGACGGCCAAAGGATGTGTATGACAGGACCGAATTTTACTGAAGATGCCAGCCCAAAACCTCCTCTCATAAGAAGCACAGGCATAAAACAGAACGGCACGCGTACAGTGACACCAGCGGGAGCGACATACACTGGTTCGGAAGAGTGCAGGAAATTTAAAAATAGCGTCAATTACTATTATGTAGAGAGCACAAGATCATGTGCAGTGTTTTGTAATCAAGAAGGTATTTTTAAAACATCGGACAAAGAAAAGATGGACAAGTGGATGGCGGTTTGGTCTATATTGTGTTTAGTGTCGACTCTTTCCGTTCTGTGCACGTTCTTTGTGGATACAGTGAGGTTCAAGTATCCGGAACGATCGATAATATGGCTTGCTCTTTGTTACCTTCTTTACTCGATTTCGTTCATCGTTCGTTTAGCAGCTGGTCGAGAGGCGATCTCTTGTGATCGTGAGTACAACACGCCTAAATTTCTCATTCAAGACGGTCGTCGAAATACCGGATGTGCCGTTGTGTTTCTTGTACAGTATTTCTTTAGCATGGCCGCGACAATTTGGTGGGTTATTTTGGCGCTAACGTGGTTTCTGGCTGCCGGAATGAAATGGGGCTACGAAGCCATCGGTTCGTATTCCAACCTCTTTCATGTAATCGCCTGGTCTTTGCCTTGTATCAAAACAATATTTATCTTCATAACTGGCAAAATAGACGGCGATGAGTTGACCGGACTATGCTTTGTTGGGAATCAAGATTTGATCGCGCTTGCCGCGTTTGTTTTGGGGCCACAGTTTACATATCTTATTATCGGAACACTGTTTCTAATCGCCGGATTCGTCGGCCTGTTTCGAATCCGCGCGACCGTACAACGTGATGGAAACACAAAAAGCGAGACGAACAAACTGGAAAGACTGATCGTTCGTCTGGGAATATTTGCGGTATTTTCAACTGTGCCGGCAACCGCTGTTATTGCCTGTTACTTTTACGAGTATGCAAATAAAGAATATTGGTTTTACGGCAAACGGGATAATAGAATCGCCGAACCAAATCTGAGCATTTTCATGCTGAAACTTTTCATGTCATTGTTCGTTGGAACAATTTCGGGAATATGGATCTGGTCACCGAAAACTCTGCAATCGTGGAAAAAGGTTTACTATGTGTTAACCGGGAAAAGGCCCCCACGACCACAGACGCAAAGGAATGGCGGGCACTCCAACGAAACAACAGTTTGAATGTCGCTCCAGGAGCACCTGTCAGACAATTTACTTCAACAAATGCGATAGAAGTATATTTTATCCTTCCCAATTCACGTCAAGTTCGCGTTTGTTTGTCTTTTGTTCACTTTTGTGGCGAAGACGAAATCAGTATGAAGGGTCAGGCTTTTCTTAGCTGTAACACACTCAGCTGGTTGCTAACAATTAGCACCTAATTTGCAATCTGAATGCAGCGAGCGAAAATCTATTTTGTACATGGACCAAAAACAACACTGTTATCGAAAGCGTTCTTACTAAGCTCGAGCTTGCTGTTGTTGCGTACTCTTTACAGAAGTTTAGATTTAAATGATATGTATGTATTTTGATTGTCGCCAAAGATCTTACTGTCACTTTACAAGGTTTATTCAATCTATGATTGCTGTGAATTTGCTACCAAAGTTCTGATGACTAGGAAATTTTACTACTGTTAGTACCTTTCAATTGGATACCCCATAGGTTGTCCTCATAAACTTCTAAAGTAAGGTTGCATTTCGTTTCGTGCGTTGATTTCTATATTTATGTATATAACAATCGAAAATGAAGTTGTAAACAAAGATTATTTTAAAAGGCTTTGAGAATCATCTATGGGTCTTCTCATTGTGAAGTGTTTGGTTGATTGGGGTAGTGAAATTGAAATTGACAATTTTGTTTCCTTCGCGATTTAATTTTTGTCGGTCGCTGGGGCAGAGGTGATTCCCATCTTAAATGTGTCGTGTTAATTTAACTTTCTTGCCTTGAAAATTTTAATTGACACTGGTAGCGTGCACGTATAAAAGTTATCTGTTTTGTGCTAATTATTTACTGTTTGTTTTGAGTTCATACGGAGACCTTGCGGCGCATTCTGGCGTTTCTTAGCGATTTTTGGCAATCTGTAACTCATTGGGTATGTTGATTGAAGATATTTCCATCAACGGCGGAGCCGAAGTGCCTGAGGCTTGAGGCATTAATTAAAAAAAATTCACATTCGCAGCTAATGATAAATTCATGTTAACTTTGGCTGATATATTTCGGCATGATCGGCTGTCAAGTTGCCTTTTTTCAGCTGTGGAGAGGAATGTTTCCCGTCTTATTTCTGTGTTTACTCTTTCATTTCGGAACCGCTTTCATCTTTGGCATCCAATTATTATTCTTTTTATCTTTTACCTACGGCGGCCCGCGCGACTGACAAGAGTAAATGAAATGACACCCGATATCCGAAGTGCAGGTACAATCAGTAAGCGCAATTCACTAATTGAACAGCCAGACCAAACACGTCTTGATTCACTGTGTGGAATTATCGGTCAATTGCTAATATTGGTTGATTCTGTTTTTCCCTTACTGTCACACCTATTGGCTTTGGAAATGTGGTCGAGGGGTGAATCAGAGTAGAAGGAGTTATTCCAGAAAAGCAATACAGACGGCTGTTCGATTCATCTCGAGCCATTCCAAATTGACAAAAAGTGACCCTACAGTTGTTATCGGCTCTCGTGCCATGCTCAGTGAAATGAAAGTTACTCTTGATAATAAAAACCGATTTAACCTGCGCGGCGCCTTGGTTCTGCTAATTGTTCTAGTCGCAGGTGTTTCAAGTCAGAAGTCACGCTTCGAAAACAAGGCCTGCTGTGGGTTCAGTGGGAAAAAAGACATGTTGGACCTGAAAGGTTACTTGGATGAAAACAAAGCGTAGCAGCTCGAATGTAGCAGTAGAGTAAAGAGAACAGAATTCGCCATAACTTCGGTCGTGCTTGTTCTTTACTACCTGACGCGTGACATTTGAAATGTTCAAGAAATAAGATAAGATCGTTATTTTCAAGGTATTCCACCTCCTTCGTCTCCTAAAATCGCCTTGACGCAAGGAAGTAAGGGGATTACGCAAAAAGAGAATGAGATAAGGGTGGAATGGCTTCTAGAAACGTTCTCACTCCGGCACTAAAACAGCTTGCAAAACGTGCAGGCCAGGCACGATTTGTGAAGGCGTGGGCAAGATCTTCCCTCGCGCGCATTTTACGTCAAGGCGAGGCCGGACACGTGCGCCTGTGTCAATTTTGTACAGACGTTTATCACCTGAAGAGACATTTCTCTTCAAGGAAAGTTTCTCCTTTCGTGTTGAGAGACGTTCATGAAGTGAGGGATTAGAAAGATGAAAATTTAGGGGTCTGATGTTTGTTTCATGAAGCTTAAGCTTAACAAAGAGTCGAAGACGTAGTCTTTTGGAAAACTTATTTAAAATTAAAATACATACATGCTAATTTCTATTATTTATTAAAATTGATGGCACATCTTTATATAAAGGTTTCTCTCCTCTTGCTTTCAAATAGACAATTCTAAAGGGTCTCTTCCTGAGGTCAGCCTGGAGGTGAAACTGTTCTACTGTACGGAGGGGGAGAAGGTGTGTACTTGAGTGGGGTATCAAATGCACTTGCGACAGTTAAAGTGAAGATTTTTTTATACCTGCTCGCCTGTCTCTACTGTAGGGTATACTGTTATCAAAACACTGAAGAAAATAGACTGGGAAGAATTTTTTTTAGAACCCCTCTCATCACACGTTACTAAGATGAATGGACATCTCTAATCTCCACCTCAGACGTTGGTCGTGCAAGAAGTCTTTCAATAAAAGGAAAAAGGATTCTGTGAGCATGAGTAAATACCCGTTAATCTGGGACTAGTTTCTTCAGAAGAATAAAGTCTCTTGTTTTTTTTTTTTTAATTAATTTTTTTTCCAAACATGGTAGTGGTTTGATGACAAGTATTGCTAGCTCACTGGATAAAATTAGACAAAATAGTCGACCTCGTCGTACTCGTTTTTAATGAAAGATCAAGATTATTCGTTAAGAAACCAATCCTGAAGTGTCCTGATCTGGCTTTGGAATCTCCGATAAAGTCGTCCGACGTTTTAAACTGTCGCAATTTGATAAATAATTCAAGGTTGCCCAAAACCCGTTTGGAACCTCCAAATAATAATTGGCGCGAAGAAATAGACCAATCAAAATAGGCTAAATTTGCGCGCCTTTGCGACATGATTCCACGTGAGTAGAAGTCGCGAAACGGTGACAACGTCGTTGTCGTGTTAGTCTTACTTTCCTCGTTTACTTGAACTGCTTACGGTATGAAGCGAAAGGGTCGAGCTGCTAGTGCCTCAGCGAGTTCACCTGAAGGAAAAAAGACAAAAGTAGGAGGTGAAAACGACCCCGAAACTTCTACAACGGATAGTAGGATGGTTGACTTCACCACGCCAAAGAGAGTTGCTGAAACGCTTCTTGCAGTAGCGGACCTGGAGACCTTTTTCACAGAAACCTGGGAAAAGAAACCTTATTTCGTTAAGCGAGCGAATACAGACTTCTATGGAGCGTTGTTTTCTAAAAAAGATTTGGAAGCCATTTTGAAAAAGGAAGAAATACACTTCATTGAAGACATAAACTTGAGTCGCTACGTCGAAGGGAAGACAGAGCTGTTGAACGAAGAAGGCTCTCGCATTAACTCGAAACACATCAAAGCCACTGGAGTTTCTGTGCAGTTTCATCAACCAGACAGATTTAAGGTTTGTGTTCCTTTATATATCGTTGCACTTATTGTTCGGAATGTTGTGTTTTCCCCCACGCTATTTTGTGTGAAAACCTCTGGAAGACTTCGATGGGTTGGATATAGACGTTTTTACAAATGTCAATAAAGATTTATATGGATTAAGCTACAAGAGCAAGTTTATTTCACACAGAATGTTTTTAATGCGAGGTTTGAGTCATTTATTTATGCCTATGACTGTGAGAAGCAACTCTTTTTTTCATTCGTTTGTTTAATTGAATCTGGAGGATCCCAAGCGCCCATTTATCATGAATTGTTTCATACGAGACAGGCTTGGTTTACCACTGTTTTCTGTGCATTTCTTCCATAGGACGAGATTTGGAGATTGGTAGAGTCACTCGAGTCGTATCTCAATTGTCTCGTTTTTGTTGACGCATTTGTGTTCCAACCAGGATCACAAGGGCTGGCTCCGCAGCATGATGATATGGAGGTCAGTACAAGGGAGGTTCCAATTTTTTACCAGGACTTGCCACCTTAATGATGGCAAGAATCTAAACTCTCACCTTTTTTTATTTTTTATTTTCACTATGAGCATCACTGAAAAAGAGGTAATGAGGGTTGAATTTTGTTGGGTACCTTAAGAAAAAGATTCAACTCCTCTCCAACCAAATACACATCATTTTCAGGGGGTTGCTGTTTGAGATTGCAAACCACTTTTTATCTTAATTTCATCACCCTTATTTAGCTAATTTGGGAGAATACCCACTGCTGCTTTCAAAGTTTTATTTTTTCTTTAATTTATTTAGACATTCTGACATTTCCACTCCTTCAAGAAAAACTCATAACTCAGTATTTGGGAATAGGTCCTAGCTAGTTACATTTTATTTCCATTTGCAGACCTTTATCCTCCAGACAGAGGGGAAAACCAAATGGAAACTGTTCAGGCCTCTGCAGGAGCTCTCTCAAGATGCTAGTCCTGACTTGGAACTGGAAGATATTGGTGAACCAACTGAAGAATTTGATTTAGAGGTATAACACTAAAAAATTGCAATTACCAATACCTTCCAGGATGATAGATTTCTGTCCATGCAAGTTTAGTTACTGTTTGTGCAAATTCAAAACTGGCACCTGAGCTGTCATGTATGTGTTCATAGAAGCTGTAAATACTTTCTGATCCCTCTTTGCCTAACAGGTAGGTTTTGTTGATTCTAAGAAAAATTTATTTAGAAGAGTTATTGCTTTAAGGAGAATCTTGAGGAGAATTGTTAAATAAATAAATAAAGAGAGAAAGAAAGAAAGAAATCTTGTAACCTTCATAAGCGACTTTTTGAGGCAGGGAAAAAATCTACCAGGGAAGGTTGCTATTGGTGCATTTGATAGCTTCTAATGTATTTGGTTACAGTAATATTCTCACCCCACTAAATGTTGGTAGGATGAAATTGTACTTCATACCCAACAATCCTCATAGGACTTAATTTCTGTGCTTGTACTTTGAAATACAACTTATTTGCACTGAGTGTCTTCAAACAGAAACTTAAGAAATCAGAGGAACCAGGCAGAGTTAATCAGAAAAATATAGCTAAGAATCAATGAGAACTCAAAATAAATTTAGAGGCTGCAAGCCAAGCAACTCAGAAAGTTAATTATGAAGGGATGAGATGTTGAGGCCACTACATTGACTTAATATTTTGAAAATTTTGGTTAAGGGAGATAAGGTCTAATCTCTGAAAGCTGGTTTTCAATCCTAAAGACGGTTTGCAAGTGTGGTGCAATGGATAGCACTTATCTCAAGCAGAAGGAACTGGGATTGATACCTTGTGGTGGCAACTTTTTTCTCTCTGTCTGCTTTTTTCCCCTTTTTAATCATCTTCAAAAGCATGAGCATTTTTTTTCCATTTTGCCAAGAACATCATCAGTAATCATACGGTAATCAGCATGTGAGAGGCCAATGACAAAAACACAGCATTTTCTTTCCTTTTCCTGTTGTTGAAAACCAGGGAGATTTTGATCATTCCTGAGTACAGCTCATTGATTTTAAGTTCTTTTGTAGTCAGATGTCCAATTTGGATGGGAAAAGTGTGTATACGAGGCCTAAAAATATTGAAATGTGAGATAGCATATTGGCTCAAACCTTTTGCATGCAGACTTAATTTCAGCCCATTGTTCCTCCTTCAATGAAATTTTTGGATCTGAGATAGTAAAACTAACCAAAGCATAATGAAACAATTGTTTTTTGTTTTGCATCTGATTAGTTGCGGGAGTGACACAAGACTTTTACAGCAAAACAAAAAGCAATCCTCTAGAATCCCAGATTGCTTTAAACAATGACTCTAAATTTTTCTAGGTAGACCATTTAAGTTCTTAAGGAAGGCATTTTCCTCTCTCTACAGCCTGGAGATCTCTTGTACTTCCCTAGAGGGACTGTTTTCTTTCCAGTGCCAGTTGAAGACAAAGATCATACAACTTATTTGGCACTGACCACATTCCAGGAAAGGTAAGGAGATAGGGATAAGAATAAAGTTATAAAAGGTTTTTTTTTTGTTTGTGTTAGTGACGAGGAAATACCTTACTTACACTTCAGTCACTGTACTTGCAGGAGTTAAGTGGTGTCTGTTCTTGTTATGAATCAGCCTGTCTTTCTGTGAAATGGAAAATTTAATGCTGTTTTTGCTCCCAACTTTTTCCCTCTTTACTGTAGGTTCATTTTAAACATTTCTATTTTTGCCTTGAGTTCATAGTGACATTCATAGACAACAACTTTAAAAAATTATTTTGTAGTTTACCTTCAAGGAACTTGGGCACCAATTAACTCAGTCTTTTGATTTTTCCTGCATTAGTTCTTGGGGTAATATGCTGACAAGTGTATTGACTAAAGCTGTAGAAAAAGCTATGGAAAGTGATGTGGAGTATAGGAGAGGTCTTCCAATTAATTTTCCTTTATTTATGGGCAATGGATTGGTAAGCATTGTAGTCTAAAATATATGTAGTAAATGACTGTACTGATAAACAAGTTCTATATAAAAGTAGTAATACCCAATATGGACAGTGACTGTTTTTCTCTCTACTGATTCTAAGTCAGATTGGAATTTTAAGTTTTATGAATGGGGGTAGACTAAAGAGCCTCACCAAAAACCATAGTGAAGGATTAATGAGTATTCCAGAAATGGGATTGAACTTGGACCACAGAGTGGTAGAATTTTGTTTCATAAAACTTATAATGTTAAAAATGTATTTTGTTGACAAACTTCCAATGAAAATAGTTCTAACCCTTTAACTCCCAGATCAAATTTGTATTTCTCCTTACTGTCAACTGTACAATTCTTATAATGTTAGTTCAGATAATTTAGGATTGGATCAACTAATTATCCCCCAATTGATATTTTTCTTTATTCTCATCTCTTATTTGGGTGATAGTATGTTGATATTGTAAAAAGAAATTCTGTCTTGGTCACTCATGGGAGTTAAAGGTTTAATTTAGCTTTCAAACTATTAAACCTTAAATGCAAACCAAGATAAGATATTGCAATTGTTACTTTAATCAAAATATGCATCTTTATGGTCTTGTAAACTTTTCAAAGTTTTCCTAAGTTTGCTAAGTTAATTAAATGGATTAAACCTGTTTTGGGTAATTGGGTTTCATAAATTTTTGAAATAGCCATCTAAAGTAAATTAACTAGAGAAGGTGGCAACCTAAAGCAATGTATTTATAATCAGAGTAAAAATTTTTGACAAAGAAGGTAGCTGTGAGGGGTTACCGGTAATTCTTACAGACTAGGAAGCTATATGTAGACATTGCTAGCCTTGTAGGAAACCATGTTACCCCTTAACACCCAAACATCAAATTGCTCATTCTCCATGCTGTTCTCCAAATTTTTCTAAGGTTTTTGACAAGGAGAATTGTAAAAATATCAAGAGCTTTTGCTGGTGATCATTTTTTGGTTCTCTTGACCTTAATATGTGATTCTGGGTGATATTACTTGTTAGTCGTTCTTAGAGGTAGGGTTCATTTGTTTTCATTATGTTTACCAATAGCATGATACTGACTCTGATCAAGATCCATCTGAGTACAATGACAACCAAAAAAGTTATAAAGAAGAATCTCCCATGGAAGCAGCTGCAGATCCAAGAAAAGCTTTCAACAAAACCTTGATTAACCTTGTTCATGGGCTGGAGCAGCATTTGAGTCCTGACAAAGCTGTTGACAACTTGGTGTATGAGTTCTTTAATGCCCGCCTTCCTCCCTATGCAAAAGACATCAAAAAAGGCAAGAAAACAACATTTTCATAAATATATAAATGTATCAAAGAGGCCACAAATACAGTGAACCCTGCTGCTTGACTGCCCAAGGGGAAATATACTTTTTTTCTTTTTTATGTCAACATAAATTCAAGCAGATAATTGATTAGGATAAAGAAAGACATCAATTATTCAGTTATTAGTTGATCCATTGCCAAATTCTCCAAAGTAACATCATAAGAATTCTATGACAGACAGCCAGAAAGAATCAGTAATGAGATCTGGTGGGGAAGGTTAACAAGTTTTTTTTTTCAGTTCATATTACAAAGGTATTGACTTGATCACCATTCTTTTTTTTTCTATCAAACAATTTCTGAAAGTAAGGTTGAAATTTAATTTTTCTTCAATTTGTATTTAAACAAACAAATATATCTAAAATTAAAACTGCAATATAGAAACCACATTTGAAGGCTAAAAATGATATTAGGTCGTCATCTACACAGACTGATAAGGAGAATTTTGTTTCACAACAACCACTGATATCTGCTAATTAAGGTTAAACTCACACATACAATATGCAATTATATGATGAGGTTGTGCATGATTTCATGAATTGTCAAAACAGAGGTCTGAGTTATAGGTTTGGGCAGGTAACATAGACACAAGGCTTGATGATACCTGATACATCGGACAACCAAATTCAATAATTGTTTTATTAAACATTATTAAAGAATATGCAAAAGAAGACACTTTTCTCTGGGTTTGCCAAAGTTTGACAGATAATGGGCTTGGAAACTAGGCAGACTTTGAACTCCACATTATAGCCCAATATCCGTTGCAGATATTGAGTTATCATGACGAGTCCACTGATTGAATGCTTTCAACCAGTCAGATTTTTCATAGTAAGCCTATCATATAATAATATTCTTTAAACTCTTTCCATCGAATGTGAGATAAATTGTGCAGCAAGACTTATCAAGTCCAATGTGCAAAGAGTTTCATCATGTTGTGTCCACTGATTGAATGCTCTTAATTAGTCAGATTTTTCACACTAAGCCAATTGACTAATGATATTCTTTAAACTCTTTCCATCGAATGCGAGATAAATTGTGCAACAAGACTTATCAAGTCCAATATGTAAAGAGTTTCATAACTTGATTTTCTTTAAATTGATGCGCCGATAGTGTCACAGAACCCTTTAAGAATTGCCTGCAAAGGTGACTAGTACACAGGAATCTGCATGTACAGCACAAGGGCAGAAAGTCGGGTTCGGGACCTTTCAAACACGAACTTCAACGTTCATTCGGCACCCCAACCGTCAGAGAATTTTAAAACACCCTTTAGGAACCCCACATGTTCGCTCTTAATGACATCCACTCGTGATCTCGGCAAGTTAAATGAAAAGGTAATTCGATTTTTCGGCGCTGCATTTGTTTTCACTGTTGGATGGGAGCCCCGCCGAAAGGCAGGGCAACGAAAAATTGGTCTATAGACTCATTCTATTGTTCTCCTCCACGGAAATCTTTAGTAAAAGGCGAAAGATTTATGCGAGCTGAAGGAAAACCAGAGTTAATAAACTGAGTGTCCAGTCGGACATAGGTTGAACATTAGGTGACAGGACATGTGGGTCAATCAATGTAATTAGTCACTAGATAACGCATGCGCTATCTAAGTGCGCAGATGAAAGATCAAAAGCATCCCTGTTGAGGATTTGTTTATTTTTTTACTGATTTTTTTATTTTCTCGTATCCAATTCATATCTCTTTTGCTTCGATGTTGGCCATTAGTCGAATAACAGACTTTTACATGATCATTTTGACGTGCAAATTTACTCTAAAGTTTGACTTTACGTGCGTGTGCGATGTGCTTATCGTTTCAGCGTGGCGAAATTATATTAAAAATCTCGCATCTTAAAACTTGTGCCTGTATTAATTCGCTTATTTTTGGCGCACTGGATGTCGTTTTTTTATGAGCACGATCAGGTTTCTGTTGTTGGAATGAAAGTGGCGGTGTTATGTGTAAGTCTGTTAAGTTATTTCATTTGATTCAGTGATTTATCTTGAAGGTAGTGATTTATTTGTTATTTGACTGTTAAGATACACAGAAACTTTTCCGGAATCTTTAACTCGTGACAACCCTTCAGCGACCCTGGAAGATGTTGTACGTGAGCAAAACAGCCCTGAAAGGAAATTATTTATAATACTTCATTCTGAGTTCACTTGTTTCCGGTGAAATATTAAGTTGACTTGGGTGCTACAAAGCAGATAGGTGATAAGTCGCTTTTGTATTTTTTTTACTTCGACTTGTAAACCAAGTCCATACAAACCCATCATGATGAATTCAAGACAAATTTTTTTTCGTTTTTGAATAATTAGTTTTGCGTCTATTGTAGTAATAATATAACAAAGGAATTATCATAACAACTTGACATGCTTGACAAAGGAAAGCGTAATGCACCTGCGTACTAAGTGACCTCTGATTGGCTTAAATAGTCGTATCGAACTTAAACGTCTAAGAATCATTAACCATATTGATGCGATCGTAATATTGATTCATATGATTTTTAGACGCCAATTTTTGCATACTTACCTGACGCGGGAGGCACCGTGATCAAGTAGGCGGTCCTCTCAAGGCGAGGCCCTTTCATTGCACTTCGACTGGGTTGACCCTTGCGATTATCCCAAATGTGGATAACTCGAGCGTATAATTTCTGGTAGTGGGGACCTGCGTTCGCGCTCGTCCCCTTCTTAAGAAAGTATTATGAAAGTATGGATGCATTTTCTCGTAGGAAAGAAGAAGAGCACCCCCACGGACGGAAGTAAAATACGGATTTTACATCCAGACCATGTCCGAGTTATGATCGGAGACTTGTCGGACGGTGTTGCTGGAGCTGATGAAAGTGACGAGGATATGTCCCAGGCAGAAGAGGATGGGGAAGAAAATAGTGAAGAGGTATGTGTAAAGGAAACCGAAGAATAGCTCGCTCGCTAAAGAAGCGTTCTTCCGCTCTAATAATTATCTAACTGTATTACTCCTCAGAGAAGGCCTTTTTAACTGCTGCTACAATGATTTGTGCTTGCTCTCTCTCTCTCATTTTTAGATCAAGCCTTGCCATGTGTTCACGTTCACATTTATAACCATTTATTGGACAGATCTCTCAAAGAAGGTTAAATTTAAATTGCGGGTGAAACAAACGCTAAGCAATTTTATAACGCTATACTGTCGTGGAACTGATATTGTTCGTGGCTTTAAAACTGTGCCGACACGTTGAGCGTTGCGTGACTCAACCGAGTAACCGGCTAGAACGCTGAGAGACTGAAAGTTCCCGTTTGGGCATTCAGTGAAAATTTGTTTTTTGATTAGGAGGAATCGGAAGAGAGTGAGAAGGAAGACAAGAAAGGCTCGAAGAGGGGAGCAAAGGAAGATAAACAAGGGAAAACAGAAAAAGGTAAAGCGACAAAACCGAAGAGCAAGAAAGCTGAACAAGAACAAAAAGGCGATGAAGAAGACATGGAGGACGAAGACGAAGAGGAAGGGAGTGGAGACGAAGATGACCCCTTTGACAACAAGGAGGGAGGGGACGAGTACATTTTGCTCCTGCACTCTTACAATAATGACAGAGCTACGCATATGATGGGGAAGAAAACCGTAAGTATCGAAAGCTGTATGAGATATATCATCCCATACTCATTTTCAATTATTGGATCAAAGGATTCGGCTCATTATTGGAATTAAAAACTTGCGAAACCTTTTATCGTCGAAAAGCACGGGAACAGTTAAGTGCAAAAAATAATCGCAGCGAAGTGAATAAACGCCCACAGGACTTTGAGCCGCGGAAAACGTTCAGGGTCGTTAGGTGGAGCTTCCTTTTTTTTTTTCAGTATTTTCCGGCCAATATCTCTTCGTTAGCCCCTCTCCTACACACAAATAGAGAAATATATTATTCTCGCTATTTTGTGACTTCGTATTCCACATAAACGTGCCTCCATTATCACTACTATTTTTTTGTTTTGGCATCTAATGTTATTTTTGTTTCAGTCTTGCTCAACACTGAAGTTCCCCATTCGTTACAAGGGCGCCTTGCGTCAGATTTCAAGCGAGCGTGACGAGTTCATCACAGTAAGCAGCCTAGAACTTCCCGAGAAGGAGCGACTGTCAATGGTCAAGTCATTATGGAACGAAGGCTTGTTGGAATTGGAGTAGGAGGGAGTTCTAGTTGAAGTCGAGTCAGACCACCGTTGAGTTGGACACGCATGCGTTGAGTTCATTCAAATATTTTAAAACGAGAGGATTTTCCATGCTAACCACAAGAAATAGTTATCGTTGTGTTCTGCGTGATACACATACTACTGTTGTCAAAACTGAGAGAAAATCTGTTGTGTTGTAAATAACCAAACATTAAGGCTTCCTTAAAGAGTCTCAAACTGTCTTCAGTTCGGTTATAAAGTTGATGAATTAAAAAAGGAATAGAATTGGAAAACGACGTAAGATGGTAGCATTTATAGATAAAATTGATATGAGTTAAAGGTCCTGGCTGTATTTGTCTGTGTTTTGACCCGGAATGCTACTTTCATACACACTCAGTTATCCTGAGGCACAGTTCTCCCGGCAGATGTTGCAACGCCATCACCTCGCTTCTGGGATGTTGTTTCTTGTGTCTATGTTATTGTTTTAAGCAAGACGTGTTTGAATGTTGTAGATACTTCATAAAGAAGTTAAGGAAAATAACTGTTCGAAATTAATTGAATAAATAAAGGGAAAAAAAATTACTTTTATCACGATCATGTCAAACTCAAGCTAGTGGGTGGAGTTGGCCCTTCAACAGGCAACAGATGATGTCATCATCTTGAGAATTGATTACTGCTCTCTACAGAATTGATATTTTGAAGTGGAAACTTGAGTATGTCAATTATCAGTGTATCAAATGCCTGTAGTAAATAATAGTATAGGGAACGGAAAAATTGACTTTCATGGGCCCTTCTTCACTGCCTTAAGGAATCATTTGACGTTATTTCCGTCCCCAGATAACAGTTTCACTGGACATCATTCAACTTCATGAGACATGATTTAACAACTGCACACCATCCACTGCCGCAAGACATCGTTCAACTTCAGAAGACGTCTTCCACATCGCTGGAGCTCAACCACGTTATTCGATGATTACGTCATTGACACGCATTCTTAGTTAACATTATTAACTCCTTTGATAAAACGAAACTATGTTGTGCATTCCCAGCTTTCTCACGTAACGTATTGTTGGGTTAGTATCTCGTGCATTCCAAATTATCTCCTGCAATTGATTGTCTCGTTAGTATCTTGCCATTCAGTTTTCTTCCGCTTTTTATCTCGCGCATTCCCAGTTTTCTCTTGTATTCTATTGTTACAACAGGTTCTCCTCCATTTTAAGTTTACGATTGTCTTCGCTTGCTACATCACTATCTCTGCACTCGCATTTTTCTCCCGTAATAGATTGTTACGTTAGTATTTCGCACATTCTTGATTTTCTCCTGTAGTAGATTGTTTCGGTAGTATCTTTCACAGTGTCAGTTTTCTCCCGTTTTTAGTTTTTTGTGTGTGTGGCATCTCGCGCATTTTCGGTTTTCTTCTGTCACGGATGGTTACGTTTAGTTTCTCACGCATTACCAGCTTTCTTTTGTAGTGGATTGTTACGTTAGTATCTCGCACTTTTCAAATATTTTTTGGAATTGATTGTTACGCAAGTGTCTAACGCAATCTGAGTTTCTAGGTTGGTATCTTGCCTCTTTTCTGTTTTCCCTTGTAACAAATTGTTACGTCAGTATCTCGTGTATTTTCAGTTTTTCCTGTAACAGGCTGTTACGTCAGCATCTCGCGTATTCTTAGTTTTCCTTTGTGATGGATTGCTACGTTAGTGTCACGTGCATTCCCAGTTTTCTACTGTAATGGAATGTTACGTTGGTGCCTCGCGTATTCATAGTTTTCCGCCCTTGTGATGAATTGTTACGTTAGTATCTCGCGTTTTCTCTTTTTGTAATGGATTGTTACGTTAGTAGATCGCGCATTATCAGTTTTGTCCTGTAATGGATTGTTACGTTATTAACTACAGGGCCTGTAATAGCTTATTACGTCAGTATCTCGCGTATTCTCAGTTTTCCCTTATAAGGGATTGTTACGTCAGTATTTCGTGTATTCTCAACTTTCCCTTGAAATGGATTGTTACGTAAACAGCTCGCGCATTCTCAGCTTTCTCTTGACATGGATTGTTACGTTAATATCTCGCGCATTGTCAGCTGTCCCTTGAAATGGATTGTTACGTTAATATCTCGCGCATTCTCAACTTTCTCTTGAAATGGATTGTTACGTTAACATCTCGCGCATTTTCAACTTTCTCTTGAAATGGATTGTTACGTTAATATCTCGCGCATTTTCAACTTTCTCTTGAAATGGATTGTTACGTTAATATCTCGCGTATTCTCAGTTCTCTCTTGAAATGGATTGTTACGTTAATATCTCGCGCATTCTCAGTTTTCCGTTGAAATGGATTGTTACGTTGACATTTAGCGCATTCTCAACTTTCTTGAAATGGATTGTTACGTTATTTCGCCGCGCATTCTCAATTTTCTCCCGTTTTTGTTTTTCACATTTAGCATCTCGCGCATTTTAAGTATTGTCCTGTGTTCGGTCATTACGTTTAACAATTGGTTCATATGTCAGCGTGCGTTCATCGAGATATGAAGCACGCGGAAAGTTTGGAGAGCACAAAACACGAGCAACTCTAGCTTCTTGAGTGCTCTCCAAACTTCCCAAGTGCTTCATATCTCGATGAACGCACAGATGACGTATGAACCAATTGTTTTATAACATTTTCAACCTGAAGGAAAATTTTTTTTTCTCGAGGGATTTGTTTGCTGACGTCATGAGCATGCACAATAGGAATATGAAGCACGCTCGCGCAATTGAATTTGATTAGACAAAGTTACTAGCTATGTTATAATAGTGCTTAGCGCATGGTAATTTTCTTCCTGTTTTCGATTCTTACACTTTATTTTTTTCAGTGAAATGAGGGTAAATTATGTGAAATGACAATAAATGATGCGAAATGACAATGAATGCTGCCACGTGACAAGTAATGATGGTAAATGCTAACTGAAGGTGAATGATGTGGACGATGAATTAGATCAAATGACGGTAATTGAAGTCGAGTGACGGTGAATGACGGTGATAGATTTGTAATGACGGCGAAAGATATGAAATGACTGTTAATAATGTGAAATGATCCCGGACTCCTCCTCCGCAGGAAACTTTATTTGAAGCAACAATATTAAGTCAGAGATGGGGTGTGACACTCCGAATTCCGTTATGATCATATGGAACCCGGGAGGACAAATAACCTGGATAAAAAATGATATCTATGTAATAAAGGTCTCCGAGCAAATTTGTTGCCACAGTTTTGAAATGTTTGTATATCAGTTTGTATTATGTATATAACTAGTAGGTTTTAACAGAAATGTTTTTATTCTCTCGGTTCCTGACTCATGCTTGATCTGAATACATAGTAAAACCATATTCTCAAAGTACAGCTCAATGCCTAACAAATTCCCACAGCCACCACTCAAGTCTAACAAGTTTAAAACATCTTGAGCCCACAGCACATGCTCTTTTTGATTCCAAAATCTTTAAGGACTGTTATCCAGGTTCTGTATTACCGTGGAAAGCAACCTATGGGAGAATTTTACGACACCCTTTCATTTATTAGACGTTGTAATGAACAGTTAAGCTACGTCACAACTATTTCCGGATTTAATGGAATGTTTCCATGAAGTGAAACTCTTGAAAATTAACTGAGAAATTACGTGCACTATGACGATTGGTGAAAAATGTATCATTTCTTGCACAGGTAAACCCAAAACCTTTTTTTTCAAAGCAGTAGCATAATAACCGTCGTGGTAGATTGGGAGGACACCTGAAAACTTTTCTTATGTTTTCACAACACCCTGAACGGGTAAAATGGCCTTGTACAAACCGTTAGAAAGTTCACTTTGCTGCTTATGAGGGTAGAAAAATACGCAAGAATAAATAAATAAGGAAAAAGGATGGAGAAGATTATCACGGATTGTAAATGACGAATTAATTTGAACCAACCCTTGGATAAATTGATAGTCCAACGCTTCATTTGTTTGGGTCGGTGGGATAGACAGGGAACTGGAAACTAGGAAATGATAACTGACGAATTTCCTATTCGTTTCATGATATATTTGTGTCACCTTTCACTAAACTATTAGATGTCCATCTACATTATCATTTGTGTAGATCGTGGAATGAAATATTAAGATGATTTACACCCTTCTTGACAAATCAAAGAAGAACTCACCTGTTGGATGGAAGACGTTCGCGCACAGATTGCAGTTCATCTGAAAAGGAGAAACATTATAGACATTTTAATGACTTCATATACGACAACCTGAAAAGCATTTCCCTGCAGTGCTACAGGTGCCTTTTTGCAGCCACCTTGAAAATTTTTTCCCAGTAGAAATCGTTGATGACTTGTTGATCATTCTGTCACCCATAAATCCACTGCACAGGGAACTAGGTAATGCAGCTCCACCAGAGCTTTACCTGTTCCCACCTTCCACAACGAGGACAGGGGATTGGACTTTGGGATACAAAAACTTTTCATTGTGACTAAAAAATTGCGACTAGCTGCAAGCAGGCAAATTCATGAACAATTTTAGAGATGTTGGTTGAAGCACCAACTACACAAATCAGATGCAAGCTTTAGTTAAGTTCCATAAAATTTGAGATTATTTTCACATATTACCTGTGTTGTAAATACCCAAACACAATTTACACTGGTAATAAAGGATACCAACCTTTGGCAGCAGAAAGGCATCCTGTTGCCATAGCAACTTGTAAAATTTGAGCAAATCTATCCATCGACAACTGGACTTGTTGTGCAATGATGCTGTGACTAAATTCTACAGTTGCTAACTTGTCTATGAGTTTTTTCATGTCTTGAGAGAGTTCTTTCAGATCTGTTCCTTTGATAAGATGCTGACTATCTGACTCATCCATAACTTCTCCAGGTTCCAGTTCCATTTCATCTTGTGGATCTTCTTTATCTTTACCAGCCAGTAGAAAAGCTTGAATTATAGCTAGGTGAAGCTGAGAGCATAACACTCTAGAATCCTTATACACATGTAGGTTGCTTGTGAAGCCATTTAAATGTAATGGCATCAATACTACCCAACGCAGTAAGCCTAACACAGGACCTATGGGGAGAGAAGTAGACTCTGGGGGAGCTACTGATCCTCGCAAACTTCCAACTGTTAGGAGATTGGAAGGACAAGTCATAATACAAAGTTCAGGGTTTTCACTGACCCAAGATGCTACAACTCTAAGGAGAGCCAAGGGAGGTCGATTTGATGACCCAACTGATAAGCTTTCACCTGAAAACAAAAGTGGCATGTTAAAAGCAGGAGCAGTCATTATAACTGTGTTGTCTTGGATTGAAAGCTTGTATGACAAGGATTCATTGTTTTGTTGAAAATACACAAAGAGAAAATTAACTTGTTGGTAAGAAGTTTTCATCTCAGTAAACTAAATACACAAATTAAAGTTCCTATATTATACCACATTGACTATATATTGAAAAGGAACAAAGAAAGAGTTTGGATGAAGGACAGAAACATAACAAAAAACAATCAGTGGTGTAATCTCCTGCCAAACAGGTTTTATTCATGATTGTAGCTGCCTTGGTTTAGTTTAGGTTTATCACTTCTTACACAACTTTTTTCTCACCTTGCTTATTATCTGAACTAACAACAGGATACAAACTAATTAGCGCAATCATCAACTGACAGGCCATCTGTGGGGAGTGACATGCAAGGGTCTGAAGGAATGGCAGTGAAGCTGGCACAAGACATGTGTAGTCTTCTACAATAGATGATGTCACTTTTAACACTAGACTAGGCAGGTGGTGATGTCTCTAATGAAGAAAAGACACAATCAGAAAAAAGGCATGCATTGAAACAAAAACAGTTGAAAAGAGGTGCAACAGTGTTTAATAAAGAATTTGAAGGAATGTCACAAGCCAGGGCCAAAGGAAAGGTTTGAGTTCTCTGTTAGGAATGTAAATTTACTCCCTCTGAATTTCTGATTCAATGGTCAGCCTACTGACCTATGGGGACCTTGTTGATTGATCAGGGCATATTCTAATTTCATAAGTCAACTGCACAGTTATCACAGGGATTGATCAGTAATGTCAAAAGTACCTTGCACTGAGACAAAAAAAAAAAAGAAGATTATAATGATTTGTGATATGAATTTCTGAGTTTGGTCTTGAATATAAAAAAAAAAGTGTTGTTTGCTCAAGAGAGCATAACACTGTGGTTCTTGAAAAACCAATGAGGCAAGCTCAAAGCAATGACGAAAAGCTAACCATCTAACCTCAGGATTTGTAAGAGCACTTGAGCCCTTTTCAAAAATAATACACCATCATTTTTTTCTGACAATTACAGTATACAAAATCAAAATTTGAATTGTTATAAAGAAGTCTTGTTTTCATCTTTAAATAAACAATATGAGGAAATCTTTTAGGCCAGCTTTGGGTGTGTAGAAGGGAGAAAAAAAAGAGGATTGAAAAGTGATACAAACCTGCATCCATATGGCCATTGATTCTAACAAAAGGTTGCATTGCAATGCCACAGCCATAGAGATTAGCTTTGTAAGAATTTCAACTTTCCTTTCAACCTAAGAAGTTGCACAATTCCCAAAGGAGAGTATAAATTACACATAATCAAGATGAAGTTAACCATACAGATTGAAATATTGTACTTACTCCTTTAAATGCTGTGGTGTTGCATACATCTTTAGCCTTTCCGTTAAAGTGTTCATGCAAGGGTGGTACTTATTTCAAAATTGTATTTCTTAACTCACTGACAACAATCAACAACTGCTCTATTCTATCACATGTACATAGAAAAGCCCTCAGTCAATAATTATTACTATGTTTTAAATTATCACCTGATGTTCATACAACAACCTGTATATTGTTTGAAATGACACAAAATTTAAAAAACAAATTACCACAGTGACTATAAACATTTATTCTTTCCTTGACATGAATCCTACCTTTCCATCTTTGATATCTTGACTTGATATTCCAAACAACAAATAAAACACTCCGCATCTTACAATATCAGATGGTTGGTCTTGAAAGCAGGAACATGTAACTTCTAGGAGCTGAAGTTCCTGAATGGCAGACAAAGGTTTTGAGCCAGAACCTTTGCTGTGAAATATGTATAAGTCAACAACATCATCAAGAAATGCCGAGAGATAAAGTCCTGGGTTTGGAGGTGTGTCTGGTGCATAAGCTTGGAAATATTTCTCCAACATAAGAATGACATCTCTACTACATTCTGGAAACTGAGAACAACTCAAAAGGTGCTTGACATAAGAAACTTTCCCAGGGATGTCTGCCTTCCATGATGCTATATCTGTAAAATAAATAAACAAAATCAAGTCAGTTGATTGTGTAGTAAAAGATTCATCTGGTTGAGAGTATAATAATTCTAAAAGTGATTGTTGTCTGCAGACTGATGTTTAGACAACCTATATTCTAGTCTGCTAGGTAAGGATGGGCCGATACAGTTTTTTTGGAATCAATATGATACCAATTACGATACTGATATTACTACTTATACTGTGACCTCAGTGAGTTGCATGGTAAGTCATGTGATTTGATTGCCAACATACAGGGTTATAGAGTTATCTTGCACTGTTAATGTTATGCAGTGTTCAGTACTCTACAAAAGAATGAACAAGACAGTCAAAAATTTAAAACCGGATTAAGGACCTATTTAAGTTGAAACTCACAGTTTTTGATTAGTTCACTGTTGCAGCAGTCACACACTATTTAGATGGTACACTGCAGCGATCATTGCCCAATCTTGAGCCCAGAGTCTCTTTGGCTCCTTGTCAGTAGTTGGTCATGAGAGTGAGATAAAGTGTGGGCAGGTCACATACAGTATCGTAAACATCAATACTTTTTGCTAGTATGTAACAATTGGTTCATATGTCAGTGTGCGTTCATTGAGATATGAAGCACACAGGAAGTTTAGAGAGCACGAAAGATGTGTAAGAGTAGCTCTTGGCTATACCTCGAGTGCTAGCTTCTTGAGTGCTCTCCAAACTTCCCAAGTGCTTCATATCTCAATGAATGCACAGCTGATGTATGAACCAATTATTTTATAACATTTTCAACCTGATGGTTTAAATGTTGTAAAAGGGTTAATATTCCCTCTGCTACGCTTCAGCACATTGATAATTTTGTTTCAGGAAAACATTTCTCTACGCTGTAAATGATCTTGTCTTAGATTGGTCAAAAAACTGACAGCTGAATTCATGTGTGTAAATGAACTTTATTTTCTGATTGAATACAAAATTCTCGAGGGATTTGTTTGCTGACATCATGAGCGTGCACAATAGGAATATGAAGCATGCTCATGCAATTGAATTTGATTAGACAAATTTACGCACTGTGTTATAATGATATTTTCTGAGTAGACTGCGGTATTGCTGGCATCTAATATTTGGTATCACTACTGGCCCATCCTTACTTCTAAGAATGGTAGTACTCAACGGGATGTCATGAGTGCAAAGGTAATTTTTCCATGCAAAATGTAGGACAACAAAGGAAAAAATTGCGTGTTCATTTGCCATCCTCTGAAGCCAGGCCTGTGTCTAAGTCATCTTCAGAGTCCCAGTCCCAACTTTTGTTAAGGTTGTATATTCCCGTTCGGGATTATTCTAGGCCCAACAATTCGACTGCATGATCAAAATGTTTATCCTGAGTTCGAACCATTGCACCAAAGTCAAATCAGGCGACACTGACATTTACCGACCAGTGCAAGACTTGAATTTTAGCAGTCTTAAAAGGTATTGATACAGACAAGCGGGGATTATAGTAGGTCCAAATTAGCTTGTAAGTTGCGTATTCTTGACCTGCTTTACTAAATAAAGTTAAGTATGTATGTATGGATCGATTTCTTAGAGATATACCTTAACCCGAAAGCTGTACCCTCATAAATTCAAAATAGGTTGCAAGACACAAAAGTGGTTCTTTTCTGATCTCCGATGTCCGTCATGGGTGTTCACTAAATTTGAAGCTCGGCCTTAATGCACAGATGCCTTCGTATGAGGTCATGAAGTGAACACGTCATTTATCACTAAAAAATGTACAGACACAATTATACGATGTTTTTACACAATCTACTGTTTACTTACTCCAAGTGTCTTCTTCATATTCGTTCATGGTGGGGAAAAAAAGAAAATTTTTACAGGTCCTCTTATACTTTATCCCTTGGCGGCCATGTTTGCCTAAGCAACCTGGCTTTTCCATTGAAACCGAGTAAACTTTGGGCCAGCCAGGCTGCGCAAAGCCTCGCTTTAGTGTTGCCTCGTTACGGGCCAATGCAAGTCCAATAGGGTCAGTTAATGTGCAAAAAGCTTCTCTGAAGTTTACTGAACTAAACACTTGGGCATGATTATTTTTACAACAAAGTTTAGCCATTGTTCAACAAAACCACGTCCTAAAAAGTCCTCAATTTAGCTGAATCTTGCATCTGAACATTCATCTTTGTGACAGCGTCAAGAGGGCTTGTGTTTGAATCCATGTTATTAATGAGAGATGGGTATATCACTCCAGTCGAAGTGAGAGTCGACGCGGAGCAACGAAGGGTTTTAGTGATATTTTCCCCAACGGCGCCAAAACGAGGTGTAACCAGGAAGAAAAAGAAAACAAAGCTCATGGCGACGCGGGCCAAATACCTACAGCCTGGATAAGGCTGGATAAGATAACTTGACCATCTGTGATGACTTTAAAATATGAGAAAATGCGATGTCTAAAGACAATTTATTACATGCTTTTCCATAGCTCACAAAAAAAAAAGAAGAAACCCCAACTCTCCTTTTCTCCCCCCCTCCCCCCAAAAAAAAGAGAGCAAACTCAGAAGATGTAAACTCTACTTAAATTGAGGCGAAGGCTTTAAAAAATCCTTCTAACTCGTTCCTCATCGAATATATATCGATTGATGAACTGCCTACGGAAGCTAATCTAGCTGCCGGGCTGGCTGGATTAATAACTTGTTTTAATTGTTCTCCATACATTTCCTAGGGTGCAGACAAAAATAATTTGTTGGTGATCGTTTCCTATATTCTCATGACTTCGATGCTTGATTCAAGAGTGATGTTGTTGGGGGAAATGAGATGCTTAACCAGGGACCACGCAGCAAGTTTTTGAGTGGGGAGGGAGGGGGGCTATTTTTGGCTCCGTTATTTTTGTTAAATTACTTTTTGTTTACTTTATTTTTATTTTTGCAAAACAGTGGGGGGGGGGGCCCAAAGCCCCCCAGCCCCTCCCTCTGCGCGGTCCCTGTTAACACCCTTAAAGGTCAAAGAGTGGGGAGTATAGTTTCAGAGAAACTTGACAAAATGTAAAGGTGATTCTGTAGTCTGATCGTCGGCTTACAACAACTTTATACTTGAATCTGATTATGACTTCCGCTCAGGTTGTTGAAACGTCATTAACCTCTACCGACAGCAGTCCTTCTCAAGAATACACTCACCCAGACTGGATCAGAAAACACTTAATGTTACCCCCGGGTTCAAACCATTTACTGTAAAATGATGAGGGTAACCCAAAACAGAGCTCTATTCGTCCACGGAGGAATAGTGTTACAGAGCACATAAAAATTATAAATTGAGTGGCAAAAGTGATCTAGGATTGGTTTACTTTTACTTTACTTTACTCTGTGATTGGCTTTTAGAAATATGCACCGCCATCTCAACCAATCAGATGCAAAACTAAAACTAATCCCGACTTCATCATTGGAAAACTATAGGTTTCAAAATAGACCGATCAGGACGATCCTTTGAGATTTTCTTCATCAAACAGAACTCAGTTATTTGTTGCTGACTTCAACTTTATAACTTCCAACTCGTCCTAACTTGAGGAACTCCACAGTTTCTGTTTTAGAATTTGGAAAAGGGTAAAGAACAATTAAAAGCAAACCTTTTTAACTTTTTACCGTTATGTTTGCCCCTTTCTATTGCAAACAGGTACTCTGTGAAATACAGAACTACCATTATCGTGCAAACTACGTTGGAAATGACGTGGTATCGCCACTGTTTACTCCTCCACACTTTCAACACGGCAACATTTAGGTACATCGCTTGCAGCCACAACGATACAGTGTTAAAAAATACATCTATTGCTAGACCAGTAACGCAACGAGCCAAGAATTGCCAGATGAAACTCTCAAAGTAACCATTAGGCGTTTGGAAGTCATCTGGGTACATGAAATTGTACAATTGGCTGAATCCTACCGCTGACACTAGGGCGTTTGCTTCGGTTAGGACAAGTTGAATGCTAACGTCTGCAACAAAACGCATACTTCGAGGGGTGCGGGTTATGCCTGCTGGAAAATCTCTTGGGCGTGATCTGCAGCAGCGAGAGAGTAGTTTGTAGGCGTATTCCCAGATGTAATCCCTCATGGAAACTGTTAAGCGCTCTATGAGGTCAACCACAGCATGACCAGCGCCCAAAGCGACAAATAACCAAAAGTTTACCAACTCTGCCTGCATAACACGGAAGACAAAAGCTGCTGCAGTATATAAAGTACCTATCAAGAGGTGCAAAACTCCAGTGTGAACTAGGTTGAACTTTGTTACGGCGACATTACTAATCCGTTGTGATTGTTTTCCAGTTAAACAATCCGAAATTGAAATGAATCCGTTTCCGGGAATTCGGGGAATGTAATGTGATACACGAGCAACGACATGAAAGTGAAAACAAAGGGATTCTAACGGATTTAAGCTAAGAAAACATCAAACCCTCTGTCTTATTTGAAGGATGAAACTATAGGTTTATTAAGGGGGTAAATTACATGGCGTTGAGAAATCAAATTCTTGTTATACAGGTAACGTTAAGACTGCACTCGAGCCAGTGCCTAGCCAGTTGCCTTAGAGTAGAGCGACTTGGAGTATTACTACTTCCCCCTGCATAGAATGCTTGTCCATCGCATGTTACCGCACAGCATTTCATCAGGCTTCCCTGTAAATTCCCGGTACCTATTTATACTCCTGGGTAGAGGGAGGGAGGTACAATGAGGGTAAAGTGTTTGGCCAAAGAATACATCACTTTGACCCGGCTAGGTCTCGAGATTCTTGTTTTATATTTGATTCATACGGTTTTCCATTAGTTTTTAACTAAACTGGTAGAATAGAAAGTAAACGAGGGTTTATCCACAGATCAGGGTAATTTAGCATTATCAACTGACTTGATAGCGTAAATTTAACACCGTAAAGAGTTTCAAAGCTGACGTTTCGAGCGTTAGCCCTTCGCTCTAAACGTCAGCTTTGAAACTTTGTGGCCAATTTGAGTTATTAACTCAGTTGATAATACTAAATTACCCTGTTATAATCTCCCACCGAAGCAGCACCGCAGTTATTTTAGAAACTTATCCCCTTTATTCATTTATCTATAGTTCCCTGGTTTGTGAATCATTACAAGAGAAGAGTTTTTTTTATATATATAGATATTTCGTCAATCACTGTCAATATTACGAACTATAAATACCTCCAATATTACAATAAAGTTCATTGTGCTTAAAACAATCATGTTGCAGACCAGGTCAGAAAGGATACCAAGAAAACCACCAACTAATCAACGCTGCTGCTCAAAGACCAGTTTTCTTTCCTATCTATTTTCATTTCCAGAATTATTAATGGTTTTCACAGTTTTTCAAAATCTGACAGAAACCAATACTAATATTTTTTTCCTGTTGTATACTGTAAAAATAATTTGGATGACAATTAAAAGCAAAGCAACAGAGAAGATTTTCCTTACAAAATGACATTACTTTCAGAATAAAAATACATTTTAAATTAAACATTCAAAAATAAATTTACTATGGTTAATTTCTACCAATTTAAAGTGCTGCTGGAGTCAACACTTAATA